CAAAAAAGACGCAAAACAAATGGCAGCTTTGCATTATGCTGCAGAGATTGGTAAATTTGGGCATTTATGTTTGAAAAACATGTTTCGTTCGACTCATTTCATTGATCTGAATTATTTTTTTGGTGATGCAAAAGAAGCTCAAAAACTAATCGACAATGGAGCCGACGTTAATATTGAAAATGAACTGAAAATGACACCTCTTCATTTTGCTGCAATGAAAGGTAATGTTCAATATTTATTTTCACTAAATATGATTGTCAGGTTTTACCAACCTAACAACATCAAAACTCACAACTGACAACCAACTGTCAAACCGAAACGTTCAATAAATATAGATATAGTACAACCGTCACAGCAGAAGCACGTCTTTTCACTATCAGATCTCAGACAACATTTATACATAACCATTATTCAATACTTTTCAGTTCTTATCCAATAAATCATTGCGACTAAGAAATTACAATGATATTGGTTGGATCCTTTTCATTGATCTGTATTATTTCTCAGGTTACAGGGATATCATTGAAATGCTTCTCAAGAATAAAGCCAATGTTAATACAGTAAAACCTGTCAATAACGGAACCTGGGAATAGTGGAAATCGTGTCAATAGTGGAAAAAAATTTGGCCGTTGAGCTCTCCCATACAAATTGACCTGTTAATAACGGAAAACCGAAACTCCGAATAGTGGAAAAAAATTTCTTGACGAAATTTTTTTTTCGTCTTTTATTCATCTCTTTTTCATATAAAACTAATTTTTTCCTTTATCAAAACCACTGATCATCATAAAAATTGTGCAGTACAATTTACATTACATTCATTTCAGTATTATTTTTCATTTTTGTCTGCCAAAATCATTGCTTATTTATTCAAGCAAACAAATTTTTGACGCTCCCAGTAAAAACATATTCACTCGATCAGTGCATTTACATTAAGTTTGGTAATCATTGTTTCGTTTCATGAAATGCAGAATTCATCGCTGCCAAATTGATAGTGCAAAAAATGAGTATCATTTACCTTCCCACTTTGAGTCATTGTTTGAACTGCTTGATTATTTTAAAAAGTGATGTTTGTCATTCACTCAGTGAATTTCACTGTTTTTTCACTTTCGTTTTTCCTTCATTCATTTAGTAAAAAAATACTTTTATTTCATTATTTCCTTTTCACGTTCATTATATCACTTGATTTGATAATTGAATACCCATAAAAATGTATGTTTTGCTTCTTTTTACCCTCAATAATGGAAAATCTTGTTTGAATCGACTCAAAAACCTTTGAATAACGGATCCTGTGAATACTGGAATTCTTGTCAATAGTGGAAAAAAAAAATTCCCCACGGGATTCCGTTATTGACAGGTTTTACTGTATTAGAAAATGTGCAAGGTCAGCTCTTCATTTAGCTGTTGTATATGGTAATGTTGAGTATTCATTTTTGCTGAATAAAAAAAGATTAGTTTGATCTTTTTCATCGATTTGTATTATTTTTCAGGTCACAAGGATGTCGTTGAATTGCTCATTAAATATAATGGCAATGTTAATTTGGAAGACGTTTATGGTCGAACATCTATTTATTATGCTATTTACAATGGTAATGCAGGATGTTAATTTTCAAAATATTCACAGAGAACTAAAATTGTGTCCGCAAGAGGTCAAAAAAAGTGATCAAATCCATAGAAAGACAAAAAATGTTCGTGTTGTTAAAATAATGCAGTCAGTAAAATTGATCATTCACAAACTTCAAAGTCAATTCATCTCAGTGTTACCTTCACCGCCGCAAAGAAAAAACAGATATTTTTTTTGTCTTTTTCATGGATTGGACCGCATTCTTTGACCTTTCACGGACAAAATTTCAATTTTGACTTTTGTGTGAGTAAGAAATTGGTTTGATCTTTCGAACTGTATTATTTTTCAGGCCACACGCATATCATCAAACTTCTCATGGACAATGGAGCCGTTCATCATTAAATCAAATGAAAATTGCACAATGCACACTCCAATGAATCAACGCATTGAAGATGAGATATCACATTCAAATAAAATGTTTGTTGAAGAAATCTAACGAAAGAATTTCTTACAGATTTTTTGTTTCTGTTTTATATATCCCAGATTATAAATACTTATTTCCGTGTGTGTACACTGTACATTCATTGGAATCACAGAATAGTTGAGAAGCTGTCCATATCTCTATAGAAAGTATTACTTATAATTAAGGCAATGGTTTCGTTGGGATTCACCTTTTTGAGTGATATGAAAGAAATATGATTCCATATATATGTGTCGTTGTCAACGACTCGTTGAGAATAAAAATGGGATCAGCCGAAACCGCTCGTTTACATGTGAATTATTTTCACGTTCCTGATAAGCGATAGAAGACCGATGTCTTCTGCAATGTTTTAGAACATTCCAAGATCTTCATCTTTGTTAGAGATACTTGCCTCGACTACTGGTACCAGAAGAACAAAAATGATTTGCGAGAAAACACGCGGTTTCGGCTGAAATCCCATTTTTATTCTCAACGACACATATATCCTTGTATGAGCTAATATTGTAACTATTGGATGTTTCTTCAATATAAACCAACGCAACCATGGTACGTGAGCCTGAATCTAACACAATCGTATGAGTCATATCGTTTGATCGAACGCTTTCAAATTTACATTATGTAAGCGACGATCCATCTGTTGTTATTTTTTTAGCTTTAAGACGACTTTGAAACGGATCGCGTTTTGAGAATGCCGCGAAGATGTGAACATTTTCATATTCAAATAGCTACATGAAATAAACACCACTTGACATTTCAAGAGTGAAAAATATTTGCTTAAATTTTCAATTCATTGCGATCGAATTGCGTTGTTTTTCAAACCATACTGAAGGTGATAAAGGAATGAACGTAAACAACGTATTTTCGATTCGATCCATTTAATAAGGAACGCAAAATTATGTACATATGCACAGGTGGAATTGTAATTCCATAAATTGTTTGATCCATCATCACACAATGGTATTTGGTTTCTTTATTATTTATTTGGTTTCTTCATGCTTACAACTAAATTATACATTGGTTGAGATCTACTATTGAAATGACTTTACATGTTATGACCACACTACTCCCAAATCATTAGACAATTTTTTTTTCCTATAATTTTGATTACATTTTTCATTTTTGTTCGAGAATATTGGGGTATCTAAATAAATTACCAGTCCATATATATACAATTTTAGGACCAAATTTGTCTGGTATGAGTCTTATCGTTTGATCGAACGCTTTCAAATTCACATTATGTAAGCGACGATCTATCTGTTGTTATTTTTTTGCTTTGAGACGACTTTGAAACGGATCGCGTTTTGAGAATGCCGCGAAGATGTGAACATTTTTATATTCAAATAGCTACATCAAATAAACACCACTCAACATTTCAAGGGTGAAAAATATTTACTCTTTGAATATTTTCATTGAATTTGCAGTTCAATGTTCATGATCTAATTCGATTATTTTTCAAACCATAGTGAAGGTAGTGAAGGACTGAATGTAAACATCTAGCATTCTTGATGCTATCTATATGATGTGGAACCTAGGGGAATTTACACAGGACATGTTTAATTGACAGGAATTCGCACAATTCGCGCGCGTTTTGACTTCAAATTCATTCAAATATTTCACGAATTTTGCGAATTCTTTGCGAATTGGTCAAATCCAAAACATTAACAGCCGGCGCCATCTTAGTTGTCATTCGCAGTGACAAAGCAGAGAATGTGCGAATTCGTAACGAAATCGCAATGGAACGAACAATTTCGATAAATTCAACTCACATAAATACCCCTAGTGCGGAACGCAAAATTATCCAAACGCGCACAGGTGGAATTGTAATTCCACCAATTGTTTGACATTATTTTCTTGAAAAATGTGTGCGATAATATTTTTTGAGCTTCAATTAGAATTGTCTTTGTATGTGGATTAAATTATATCATTAATGTATTGCTGATGTGATCATACTTGAAAAGTATATAAGAAGATGCGCTCGATTCGTTTGTCAATCAAACAGTTCGTCAATTTTCTTCAATTGACACGTTTACAGTATACTTTTGATAGTTCGAAGCTGGAAAAATGCTGAGTCAAAGATCTTTTACACTACTGCTCGTTGGCTTGGTGTTATCCGAGGTGAGTCGACAGTTTTAGTCTGAAATTTGTAATTTTAATGTTGCTTGGAATTTTGGATCAAATCTTTTACATTTGATTCTTTTTATGGACAATTTGTGATTATTTTTCCGAAATTAATTTCATTAATGAAAAAATTTCCATTTTAAAGTTTTTCAATTGAAACAAATCTTCCACTACAAAAATAATGTCCAATAATGGAAACTTTTACTCGAATGAAAAACAGTTGAAAATCATTACAATCTCATCCATTGTTCTATTCCAATTTAATCACTTTGTTTTATTTCCACAGTTTCTGATCGTGGATGTCAGTGGTATAGGACCATCTGGGAGCAAGGGTAAGATTGAAGCTCCATTTGTTCATCAAGTTTCATTCACACAGCACACTGCGTCACTGTACGCAACATTTTCTTTCGATTAATTTCACTGATCTACTATTTTTTCAACTTTTAGTAAACGAAAAAAACATACGTGGAGAGACAGCTTTGCATAGAGCTGCTGAGACTGGTAATTTTGAGTATTTATGTTTTTAAAAAATGCTTTTTTCAATCTACTTCATTGGTCTGCATTATTTTTCAGGTGATGTGAACGAAGCTCAAAAACTCATCGACGATGGAGCCGAAGTTAATATTGAAAATTTGTTCAAGGAGACACCTCTTCATTTATCTGCTTCCAATGGTAATGTTGATTATTGGTTTTCATTGAATAAAAGATTAATTTGATCTCTTTTTTCGTGGGTCTGTGTTATTTCTCAGGTCACAAGAATGTTGCTGAACTTCTCATCAGTAAAGGAGCCATTGTTGATAGTAAAAATGAATACCATGCGACACCTCTTCATTCCGCTGCTTTCAATGGTAATTTTGAATACTTCCCATAAAATCTCTTGACACCATTCCCGAGCACAGCAATCGTGTAATGTGTAAGCTATGTGTACATGATTTATGGTAGGCCGAAAAAAACCGATTTGCAATTGAATCACACCATATCGTGTGAGTGCTGGCTGTACTCACACATACACTCAGTACTTAAACGTACGGTAAGCGTACACGATATGGTGGGATTCAATTGTATATCAGGTTTTTCGGCCACACCATAAATCGCGTACACACAGCTTACACATTACAAGATTGCTGTGCTCCGGAATGGTGTCCATATACGTTTCTACACCTTAAAAACGCTGTCTACGAGATTTTATGAGTTTCACTAAATACAAGATTGATTTGATCTTTTTTACCGGTCAAAATTATTTTTCAGGTCATGTGAATGTCGCTGAACTTCTGATCCGTAAAGGAGCAAATGTTAATGTTCAAAATAGTTCTAAGCAGACGCCTCTTCAAGTAGCTCGTAACAATGGTAAAGCTGACTAAATAAGAAATCGATTTGATCTTTTTCATTGATCTGTATTATTATTGCTCAGGTCACGATGAGGTCGCCAAACTTTTATCGGTTAAGAAAACAAAATACTAGTAATTCAATTGGCTACTAACGATGGTAATGTTGCATATTTTTTCACAAAATTAGAAATTGGTTTGATCTTTTTGATCAATGTGTATTTTTCAGGTGACGAATAGCTGAACCAATTTAGCTGAATAATCGGATGATTTCCTTCGATTCCCCGTTTCGATTGTAGTGTAGAATTAATTTCAAAACATTTTTTTGTCAATCTATGACCATACCAACCAATATTGTTGCTTTGTTGGACCATCCATTAATATTCTGTCAAAAAACACCTCAAGTTATTTGTCTTTTTATTTGCTTACGATATAGGTATTGGTATAGAGTGGAATTTTTTTTTAAATTTTTGTGACCTTAACGTACATCCGTGCTAAATTTGAACGCGACTTGTATGAGTCGTATGCCGTAGGCAAAATCCAAGAATGAAAATAAATTATACAGAAAAAATCAAAAAAAAAAACCAAATCTCAATCTGGTTTGTACAGTGTTGGTCAGGGCCCTACTAAAGTCAGCTCAAGTTTATACTAATACTTCAAAATAATTCCAGGGCTCAAGAATCGCACATTCAGTTCACAGTACAACTCATTTCAATGAGAGCCACAGCGCTCGTGTGCGATGCTTTTCTCATATAAACCGAGTTGTGTGCGCATACCGCTCACTTACTTCTCCTTTGCTTTGTCGTTCGGATCTTCGTTCGGCCGAAAAAATAAGAAGAAGAAGAAGAAGAAGAAGAAGAAGGAGAAGAAGAAGAAGAAGAAGTAGTAGTAGTAGTAGTAGGTTCACCATAGCCGAAATACAGGCACGAACATGTTTTTCTTTATTCTACGTGTCTGCTGTGAGTTTTTGAGCGCACATTGAACGGACAGTGGTTAACTCATTTGTATTTGAACATTTGTGCACTGTTCGTCGTCCGTTCCGACATTGTGATGCATTGCGCTACTCACAGGGTCCACTCAGTGCGATTCTTAAGCCTTAAATGATTCTATTCTGATTCTAATAGTAAACGACAATGCTATCGCGCATAGTCCGAAGCAAGCTGATCAGAGTTTGAAATCTACTTAATTTCACCAGATCAGAAATGTTATTGTATTGAATGACTCTTACAATCTGAATCAATAACATCAGACGAATGTGTAGACATCCGCAAGTCATCCTTCAACCACAGCGAACCATAGTTAGACAGTGTATGGAATGGATAATGGACATTGGACATTGTCAATGTAACCAGACATGCATATTTTGAACCAGACATAGAATTAATCAACAGAAAATAAATAAAATTAGAATATTACAGTACGCCCCCGCAAATTAGAAATGAAATGTCCCGAGACCATTTCCAATTTGCGGAGTTTTCTAATTTCTGAGGTTTTTTCAATTTCATCCAAAAACGGTGTATCAAATGAAAAACTGATAGGGGGAATGATTTGCTTAATTGAAAACAATATATTGAACACTGTTCAATCAGGTATTGTACGTAAATACATGCTTATAAGCAGTTATTTTAGTGATTATAAATATATAGTAAGTCTGTTAGTTTATTTTGCTGGATAAACTACTCCTCGGAACAAACCGAAATAAATGATGACCTATCTTACGATAGTAAACAGAAAACATTAGCATTCTATATACAATTTTGTATATGCAAATTCTCTGATGGAACAAATCGGTTTCGACTTGTTAATAATTGATGATTGATGATTGACGCAGACAATATGGAACAGATTACTTCTTGACTTAATTTTTAACTTCATGGTAAACGTCGAAAATCTCAAGCTGATCTGCTAATATAGTTATTCAACGAAATGGAATTAAAAATGAAGTAAATTTCCCTTTGTTTTGAATGAAATGATTCGGAAACCCCGGAAATTAGAAATTTTCCATACAAATTTTCAAACCTGAAATTCATTTCTAATTTTTGAGGTTTTCTAATTCTCGGGTTTCTAATTTGCGGGGGCGTACTGTAATACAGTAACTGTATTAATAAATTTTGTACCGAATTTGGTACAACATCGAAAAAAAATTTTGACGTTTTGATTTGACCGTTTTTGTCATTTTTTGACGATTTGACGATTAACTTTTCAATTTAAAAAAACAGTTTTCCCAATCGAATGAAAAACAATTGAAAACCATTACAATCTCATCCGTTGTTCCCATTCCAATTAAATCACTTTGTTTTATTTACACAGTTCTTAATCGTGGATGTGGCCCGTGTGCAAATAAAGTGACTGACAGTCACTCATTTGTATATAGCTGCAAATAACTAAAACTGGCTAAGTTGATTGAATTCAAAAATGTTGTATAGAAACAATCAATTTTAGTTATTCTTTCAGCCAGTCGTCTAATTTCGGACTTTTTGGCTACTAGATGACTATAACTGAAGTTGCCTACAGTCGAATATTTTGTTCGAGATAATCACTTTTAGTCAGTAATAGTCAGCCAAAAAGTCCGAAATTAGGCGGCTGGCTAGTCAGTCACGAATTTTTCACACGGGGAGTGGAGGGAAAGTAAAAGACATTCGCGCAAAGAAAAACGATAAGATTAGAGATTCATTTCTTTATGAAGTTTCACTCACAAATTCCCTATATAAAACACTTTTTGATGTATATAACATGAAGAATAATACATGGGTGGATTGGTGCACTCCCTTTTAACCTCCTCCCATTTTTTCCGCGTATTGAATAGTTTTGTTTCTTTCTTCGTGCCCATCTAGTTTATTTTGTTATTATAAACCTCGTATATAGTGTATTGTATTGAGTGATATATTGGTGTAATAACCATACAGGTACCATACAAGCTTACATACGGGCTGTTATATGTTATACGGTGCTACTGGAACCATCATTTACCCAATATTTTGCTCAAAAATCAAATTTGCCATTTTTCTGCGTTTTTTTCTCTGCGTTTTATACGATTTATTATTTTTTTCGTACGTAACACTAAATTGGAATGAAAGAGAGAGATTCCACTAATTTTCATCATCCAATCATGCATACGTTAAAATGCGTTAAAACAACGCAACGCATACTCGTCAGCAGCTGATATCAGCAACTGACATCATCTCACAACACGCTCTAGACATAGGACATACGAAATTGTCTTTCACTTCACTTCACTTCACTGATCTATTTTTAGCACTACATGAAATGTAGAGCTACTAATCTGGATTTTTTTACTAATACTTTTTTGAGCCATGGACAGAATTAGAGTGGCTTTCAATTTTATGCTCATATTTTTTATTCAATTTAAACTTGCCTATGTATCTTTCAAAAATGAAATTAAACCAAGATCTTGTTATTCATTATTGTAATAACTGAGAGAATCTTTTTTCTGTACCTACTTTGTTGCATATATATATATCCTTCATAATATGCTTTTAATCCATAGTGTTATTAACTCGAATCGACCCACAATTATTTTTTTTTTTCACCGATTTTCAAAATATTGCTAAAATATCTTATTTAAATGGAAAAAATAAGATCTGCATACTCAGTTTTTTCAATTGTCCACTAGTTTTCCCGGAATTCATTTTTGATTTTGTGATTTTCAGTGCAAAATCGACGAAAAGAAGTGGAAATTTAAAAAAATGACGCAAAAACTCACTTTTTCTAACAAATTAAAATTTTGAAGTGCTGTAACTTGAAAATAATTCCAACAACTTTAGATCCGCCAGGATCACTGAATAGTGGCATCCTTTAAGAATCATAAACACGCTATAGCATAATGATATTATCACTCGTTAAGTTTTTTATACCAAGGTTTGTTACTTGTCAAAAAGCGTTACATATACACCAAAATTTCAGAGGGGAATGAGTAATCTAGATACAGTGCGAAATAGCGGTTTCAACTATTTTTGGATGAATTTACACTAGTTTTAGGGGAAAATGTGTTATTGCTTATGCGAACGCTCAAGTAGCTACTATTCATATACGTGCCGATACATAGACACGCACTGGTCACCAAGTCTGTGCAGTTGTATGTATTGAACGAGTTGCTGTGTGCAAAACTTACAATACATACAACTGCACAGGCTTGGTCACCAGTGCGTGTCTATGTATTGACACGTATATGAAAAGTAGCCACTTGAGCGTTCGCATAAGCAATAACACATTTTCCCCTAAAATTAGTGTAAATTCATCCAAAAACAGTTGAAACCGCTATTTTGCACTGTATCTAGATTACTCATTCCCCTCCGAAAACTTACAGTGTATATGTAACACGGGGTTGATTCGAATTAAAAGGGACGAATTTTAATGATATATTACGACGATTCCACAACAAGCGGGAATATCAATTCTACATTTTTCGGGTCAAGTATCTTGGTAAAAAGTTATTTTTTCTCTAAAATAAAGGGTGTCTTCTCAGATATTAACCTAAATATGACTTTTTCAGGTACCTCCCCAAAAAAGTTACGTTTTTCATGAATTCTGGTATGAAAATATCATTTTTTTAGGATTTATGCGTAATGTGCACAGACGTCCTCAGGTACATGTCATCAGCACCGCCCGGAAATAGTGCTCGAATAGTGCTGTCGATTGCAATTGATCCCATGAATAGTGCTGCTCGGAGACGCTAGCACTATTCGTCGGAAGTTGAAAAATCGATTTTTTGATACTTTTGTATGGGAAGTATGTGAAATCAAATAAAAAAACTTCTTTCGAAGTAATTCCTCGTGACGAAAGCGATATCAAAACAGCTGATATCAATTTTAAAAAATCGTTACGGTGCGATTCTGAAATTAGATGGAAGAATGCAAAAAAAGCAAATCTAAATCGCTCCGAAATGATTTTTTAAAATTGATATCAGCTGTTTTGTGTTCGCTTTCGTCACGAGGAATTACTTCGAAAGAAGTTTTTTTATTTGATATCAGTTGTTTTGTACCCGAAATTTTTTTCCAACAAAATCAACCAACACAAGTGGTGTGTATTGAGTCAAAGAAAATGAAACATGAAATGTTGTAGTTAAAAACCAGCATTGTCGCCTTTTTGAATAAAGCAAAATCAGCGCGTAGGTGGGAAAGCAGACTTATGAGCGTGTGGACTCGAGTTCGAGTCGCACGCCGGAGGAAAAAAAAATTTATTTTTTTTTTCGTTTAAAAAAATTTGGTTTTTGGACAGACAGATGAAATTACAATTTGTTTGGAATAAAAAGACTTGGTGAGGGGCTGGTATCTGAAGGAATTTTATTCATCTGAACTCAAAAACACTTTGGTTATGATTTTGCCCTTGTTAACGGCAACAAAAATGAGTTTTAGTTGATTTTTGTCGATTTTTCATGTTTTTTCCAAATTCTAAAGGCTATATCTCCAAAAACAGAGTTTTCCCAGATATAAGCTATATGTCAAATTTTAGCTCTAACTTGGGGCTAAATTCCAGAGAATTTTTAAAAAAAATCGTCGGAGCCGTTTTCGAGAAAATGGCCGATTTATGCAAGGCCAGGTGACCATTTTTTTGGGTTTCTGCCAAATAAGATCATGCCAACTCAATTTTTTCAGAATAAAAAAGATGTCATTTGATAGCTGGCCTCAAGACCTTTCCAACGATACCCAAAAGTTTGAAATCGGTTTACTGGGTTAGGCACAGTGATCATTGGAAAGAAGGCCATATTTTGAATTTTCAAAGGCCGGCCAAGGTCAAGATGGCGGCCAAATCAAAAAATGGCGGAACAAAAAAGTCTTAGTTTTTGTTATGCTTCAATGCCTGAAAGTTTAAAAAAGATCGGGCAAAAACTACGGACGGACGGACGGACACACAGAAAAAATATTATCTCAGAATAATTGGTGGAGACGGCAAAGAAAATTTTCAAATGGCCATAACTCATGAACTGATGGTCCGATTTCGACGTTCTTGGTCTTGTTGGGAAGGTCTCGACGAGAAGCTTCAAAAAAAGCTTTTGAGATGACTGGGCCGCGTCCACCCTCCGGTAAATGGCAGAAACTGAGAATTGCTCCAAATTTTTAAGTGGCCATATCTATGGAGACGGTTGGTCGATTCCCAAGTTTGAATGCATTTTCTGGGCCTATGAGCCAAGGGCTTTCTGACGATACTTCATTCATACCAAATGGCCCCTTAGAAAAAAAGTTCGAAATTGCGTGTATATATAGGCGAGTTCGACTTTCAGCACAGAGGTGCTTTCGTCACTCGCGCCTGCTGTCGCCGGCTGTGATTCATCTCCTAAAATATGTCTGTGTCAATTTTCATCAAAATCCGTATATTTTTTGTATGTTTTTTCAATCGTTTTATCAACGGCTTCCACGAAACCTTACAAATTTTGTAATTGCACTTTTACAACTCTGCAGATACCCTGTCTAAAGATTGAAAAACCAAAAAACAAACACATTCAATATATCACGTATTGCTAGTAAGTCACAATTATTCATTTTATTCGCTATTTCAATTGACAAATTGCTTAATAAGCTACAAGAAAAGGAGAAGAAACTCGAAATAAACAAACGTCATTCAAACCATTTGTTTTTCCAATGTTTTCTATTCAATAATATTATTTGTGTTTATTCCAATGGCCATTTTTACCTCTCGATACATTTTGAATTATACAATTGAATTCAAAACGAAAGCTTTCCAATTACTTTCCTGTTATGAATGTTTCACTTGCAAGCGCGTCCTTTGTGACTTTTCAAAAGACTTGAACGTATTTGGTACGAAACACAGTCAGTGACTACATGCAGCTAATATAATATCTGTTCCTAAGCGTAGTCTCCTAATTAGCTGGGATAGATCTAAAGTAGTCAATTGGAATCTAATTTACACCGCAAAAAATTGTGCACAAAAAAAGTATTCGGCCAAACCGATTTATTTGAGAATTTCTACATTTTTTTTTTATAAAATATCAACACAGATCGTTTCTATTGGCACTAGATCTTCGCTTGGCCGGCGCCACTACCATTCGGCCAAATTTTACCCTACAGCTAACACAATAATGTTTGAAAACTCGTGAAATGGCTTAAAATCACTGAAAACATTAATAATTCATCGTTTCACATCGTCTGTGTTGATATTTTATTTAAAAAAATTGTAGAAATTCTCAAATAAACCGGTTTGGCCGAATACTTTTTTTGTGCACAATTTCAACGTCTCGATAAACATGGCTACAGCAAAGGCAAAAATCATGTTAATTATTTCCGGAATTGTTTCAACATTTTTTGCGCACTGACTTGCATAGGTAGATTGGCGAGTTATACTTTCAAAACTGGAGTACTTTCATTACTTAAAATAAAAATGAATCATGCACAGAGTGAAAATAAAAGAGCAACGTAGCTATGTTTCACTTTTATTCTGACTCCGCGCATGTTGCAGTTTTATTTTATACGCGTTCTTTATTTCACTATTATTTCAAACCAACTTTATGTTTCGGTTTTATTTTATGAGAGATTGGCGGGCCACGATCATTATCACCCATTCATTTGATCAGATACATCGTTTTTATTTGAATGCTTCACTTAACAGAAAATATTTTCTGTTTTAATATTCTTTGACGAATAATTATCGGTTTAATAAGACGCTTCTGAATGGTATGAAATTATTGTATTTGATCATCAGAAAAGACGCATTATCCAAGGTTTAATTTTTGCGCTCATTTCTTGTCCTTATCGGCCAGCCATTCCTCTTCATGCCGTTGTTTTCTATGTTTATACATGTTTGTCCGCCAAATGAACGTCTCATCACAATAGGTGCACTTATAGCTCTTCTCATTCGTATGCGTTGCGATGTGATCCTAAAATAGGTTGTTCAATCCAATTCAGAGCGTGTTATGAGCTGACGAGTATGCGTTCCGTTTTTTCAACGCATTTGCAGTATGAAAACGAAAGAGTAAGCAATCTGCCTGACGTTAGTTAGTGCTGCTGATGTCAGCTCATAACACGCTCTGATCCAATTCATAGTGAATTGAAGACAGAAAATGATGTAAAAATGTTATCCAAAATGTCGTACCTTCAGCGATGATTGTGACTTGAGTGATTTCTCACATAAATGACATTTGAAATCCAATTCAGCATGGACATTCTTAATATGTTGTTTCAGTGCAATTGGATGGGGGGAAATTTTATCACAATGGCTGCATTTCTGTGGCTCTGGATTGTGTATCATTTTATGTCCTTTCAAAATACGCTTCGTCGTATACCATCCATTACATATATCACACTGGAATTTTGGCTTTGTTTTCGACGCTACATCCAAATGTTTCGCTTGATGGAGTTTTAATTGCGCTTCTGTTTTGAATTTCTTAAATGAAAAGTAAAATATTAAAACCAATTAAAACCGTTGAATTGTACTTTTCCGACTGATTCGTTTTACCTTTGCACAGAACTCACAAATCTGATCATGCTTTAGATCGTGCCTTTTACGATGTCCATTCAGCTCTTTTTGGCTATGAAATCTATTTGGGATCATAGGCAATTTTTCACATGTAATTTCAGTCACGCTAATCTGAAGTGTATGTACTTTGTACTCACCTTTTGTCGCATACATCGCAAATGAAATTGCGTTGATTTTCGCTATTATGATTTCTATGTGTTTTCAAATGGTCTTTCAAGTGGTTACTACATGTAAACGACTTCTGACACGTGTCGCAATAATACTTATTTGAATGCCAATCATTGTGTCGTTTTAAAACGTATCGGTTTGGCAGCGATTCGTTGCAAACATCACATCTATTTGGAATCATTGAAGACACATATCAAATTATTTTTTATTTTCGGTTAAATTATGGAAAATTCGAGTGAAATGCAGAGATATTTTGAAATTACTTGAAAACATCCGGACTATTGTGCAATGCAATGTGATCACTGAATAAAGTTATGCGGGAAAACTTTTTCTGGCAACACGATACCGATCCGACCAATTTGTGAATATCTAAATAATGTGATTGCATTTCTTTGAACGAGGTAAACGTTGTTGCTGGACACAGATCGCACGAAGCATCGACATAGCCCGGTATCTCTACGTCATTGCCATTGTTTTCATTAGAACTCGTTTCAAGCGGTGAAGAATTTAGTTGTTCCCCTGGATGTGTGAGTTTCATATGAGTTCTATGTTGTTTTTTGGTCGCAAAGTATCTGTCACAAATTTCGCACATAAATTGCTTTGTTGATAAAGCAGTATGCCGTTTCACGTGATCAATGAGGGTATATCGACGGCTGTGTTCTAGCTTGCATACTCGACATCTGAAAAATTCAATGAAAAAAACTCTTCATATTATGATATCGTTATTCGTAAGCAATAGAATAAACTTATTGAAAGGAAAATTTATATTGCTAAAATTTCGTATGTTTGAGTTCAACCTGAAAGTGTCTGGATCGATGTGCCATTGAATGTGATCCAAAACTTTTTTGTTATAACACATTTTAGATCCGCAACACCGGAGATATCCGTTTGGATTCCCATGTTCTGATAAATAGTGTGATTTGGCCATTGTGATACTATCGAGCTGAGCATCACATTGTTCACATTTCCGATCGAAATATTTCTCGATTGTATTTTTGATCTGTACCTCACTTATATTGAACTCCATACATTTTATTTCGTTCAAATAATCTGCAATGAAATCAGTCAATTTGAATATCAACAATATTCACAACACTGTTCAACATCAGACACGAACTTGTACAATAAAAATTATTTACCTTCTAATCCGTTCGAATGATCCACTTCTAGGTGAATTTCCAAATGCTTTCGAGTCTTGAAACTTTAAATAAAGAATTATTATTATTATTATGATTATGATTATGACTTCATTTAATTGAAATACAGCGTTAACCTACCTCTGATCGCATTGATCGCATGGGAATTTTGCTTTAGTTGCATGTACATTGAGAATATGACGTTCTATGGAGCTGAATACAGTGAATACCTTCTGGCATATGTCGCACGTGAATTGGTTGAAATGTTTGAGTTTGTGTTGTTGATAAGATTGATACGTTTTCTTGACTTCTCCACAAATCTGGCATCTGTTTTGTTTAGAATAATACATTTTTCATCAGAATAAATGCTTGTTCTTTGTCAAAGACTACATTTTTTTTTGAATTTTTACTCTAACTCAATCCAATGTTTGTGTTCACTCACTTGAATACTTCTGGATTCAAATGATATACAATATGGGCATTCATGAGAGAATTCTCTGACAATTTTAGTGAACAACATTTCACATAGCCTTTGGGCTGATTGTTATGTCTCACTTTATAATGTTGGATGGCTTCTTGTAATGTTCGGAATGTGGCTTCACAGAAATCACAACTCATGTCGCAGTATTGGTCAATAATTTGCTGTTGTTGTTCGGGGCTTACTTCACTGATGTGTCGTGGAAGTCGAGTGCCTTCGCCACTCTCTGGCAGCTCATTGCGATCGATCAGTTCATCATAAACTTCATTACCATCTGAGAATCCCTGTTCATTCCCTGACCCATAATGAAGTTTGCTTTCTTCTAATTCCATATTCTCATCTCCTTCTCCCATCATCACTTTGGTGGGCCTCAATAGGTCAATACAAACCATTTCCCGATGGAATTCTGGCTCAACATTTGGAACCGCGTATTCTGAAAAATGTACGTGAATCAAGAATCAAACGTAAATGACAATAAAACGAAGAAATTCACCTTCATCACTTTCGTCTTTGACCGCATTGTTGATGTGTTGTCGCAGATACTCTTCGCGCAATGCGATGACCTCTTCGGAAAACTTACGAAATGATTCAACTTTGTCCCAACATTCAATGCAAATTACTTTTGGCAAAATGTCCGAGTCGCTCACCTTCAAGGATTTAGATAATTGTCCATTCAATTTTAGTCATTCCTTGACATGTGCTGATTTTACTGGAACGAACGACTTACCTCGTCGTGAAAATACTGCTTTAGCGTGTCGATTATAGTCGGCATCGATGCAGCATTCTCGAATATATCAAAGTATTCAATAGCTTGTGTATAACACAAACGACAACGATCCGCTTCCACTTTTACTTCCATCGCGTATTTTTTTTAGTTTATTCAGAATAAAACCGCAATTTCAACTAAAATAGTATTTCTCTGAATATTCTGTTTACAATGTGTGCGGTAGATTTTGTTTTGATAGTTCTGTCAAAGTCAGAGTGTCGTTTCATGTGAGTTGACATCAGATGGAGCTTCGGTTCAGCCCAGCACATTGTTTTTCTATTTAACCGGATGAGGAGCGAAATTCAAAAAGTGCCACACAATATTTTCGTTTTGTTTCTTATGGCGTCAAATATATCAAATCAATTGATCAATACAGCGATGCTTTGAAAATGTTCCAAATTGGAAATAAACTAGAGAAAACAGTTTTTATTTATTTATTTAGTTGTTCACATTTGATATATATATTTGATTTTTTTTTTAATGTTTCACTTGAAAATAACGTATGAGCTGCTTTTTTGCGTAACAATCACCTATTCATTGGGGCATTTTTGTTCAGATTCATAGCAATTTGATCCTAAGTTTAAGGCCTTCCAACGTCATGTAAACTAAAACGAAAAGAAAAGCCGAGAATTTTTCAACTTTTCCTTCGTCATTGCAAGTGCATTTTTTCTCCTGAATGCCCCTGGTTAGATGTGCAGAAAAGTTCACGTTAAATGAATAAACATTTTTTGCATCAATGTTTCATTCATCAGCTGGGTGCATGTGTATTCTGACGTAGTTGCGTGCAGACATTTTATGTTCGAATATTATTGCATTTGAGGAAATTCCGATTGGTTCCAGTTCACCTTTAAGTTTCGAATCTTTGGATTTTAAAGCAAAAATGAATTGCTCAACTGTAAACTTCTGTTGCATCAGTTTGAGAACAGCAGGCATAATATTCGGAATATTTGAAATAAGTGTGTATGTTCTCAATGTGATCTCTATGCACGAGTACGAACACACACAACCGTAGTAAGTTGGTTTGGCTTGGAGGAACTTTGAATTTGTTCTATAATTTGAAATCGTCAATTTGTCATTTGCCAAATTACTTGGATCCAATGAACTTCTCCTGTGTATTTGTTTATTCAGTCTCGAAATTCGGATTGACTCAAAGGACATTAAATGGCTACTTCTCGACTACACCATTTCAATCATTGGAATTGTTGTTAACGCATTTTGGCTGTATAGGATTTTCAAAGTAAGGATTTACTGAAATTAATTAATCGATAGGCACTGATTGATTATAATTTAGTGTAGAAATTTGAACCAACAATAGGGTGGATTGATTCTTAAAATCGCACAAAATCAAAAACCCTGGCTGCGCGTTCGATTTGGCACCTCAAAAGAAGAAACTTTTGTTCTGGGACATATGCCGAAAAGTCAATTCCTACTCCGTTCACTAGATTTTTGTCTGGATCATTTTTTGATGACTTTTTTCGACTATTGGTTGAAATATCTCGAAAAATAACAACTTTTCATGCACTCAGACTAGGTTATTTGGATTTATCGTGGAAAATTACATAAAAATAAGTTGATTTGAAACCATTTCAACGCGATTTGGTCGCCTTCGTACGTCAAAATTCGACCAAGTATCCATTTTTTGGCTACTTTTTCGTAAATATAGGACCTTCAAAAATTACAAAATATACAGCTAAAAATGGTGACCGGTCATATTTTCGCCGGTCATAAATTCCCTCGTACAAAATAAATGGAGATATTATGGCCGAAATGACGGAGAAAATAAATCCATTTCAAATTTGGCCATAAATTCCCCATCTAAAAAATTTTGATTAGAGAAAATATGTCAAAAAATCAGAAGAAATTATATCCAAATGCATATGGAGATAATTTCCCGGGGAAATTATGACCAAAGAGTCAGTGGAATTATTTCCGCGTCAGTGGAATTATAAACGCAATGACATACCATCGATTATTGAGTACAACAACCATGCAGCCAGTAGTGACACATCGAAAGCGGAGTTATTTGCGGATTTCTTCGAAAGCCAATACACACCGAGTGATGACATTGATTTGGATAACTTGCTAAGTGAATGCGGTGATAATGCGTTTGACATCGAACTGAACGAGGCTGATGTATTGAAGGCACTGCTTTCGATCAATGTGAACAAAGGAGCTGGCCCTGATGGCATTTCACCGAAATTACTCAAAAATTGCGCGTATTCACTCGCTAAACCGTTATCAAAGTTGTTCAATAAGTCATTACAAGCGGGAATAGTGCCGAGTATGTTGAAAAATACGAGAATTGTGCCGATTTTTGAATCTGGCAAAAAGAGCATTGCATCGAACTACA